TGTATAGAGCAGCACGGATCAAATGTAAAAAACTAGAAGTCTTTACGATGTCTCGTTATTGAGATTTCTTGCTTGTTTGCTTGTTTGCTTGCTTACAGAAAGCGTATTTTGCGATTTTCTCAGCAATGCCACAACCAATTTGAAATCTGTTTTTTGAAAGTGATGTGAAATTCCAGGCACAAACTGTTTATGTCTGAACATTTTAAGCTATCTTGCTCCATATCCTCACAAAATTCTAAAAACTTATTTTTCAATCTGAACAAAACCAATAGATTCACACGTGAAAACGGTGTGAATTTAAAAAAATGGTAACTTTGATTACCATTGATAATTTTATGTCAAGTTTTGCAATCATTTTGAAGATCATTTTGATGATAAGCATATCTATTTTTACATTCAAAATTCGTTAGTAATCTGTGAGCATATATTGAATGAAAGCTCATTTACAAAATCTCAAGAAAATAATTCAAAAAAAAATTTTGTTCAATCTTCGAAATACCATTCAGAAAATAATTATCAATTTTTACAGTGCAAAAACAGTTCAAAGAAAAAAGTTTAAGCAAAACATACAATCGAAATTGGCAGAAAATCAAAAATTATCGTCATTCATGACTTTCATTTGATCGTCATATGATCGTCATAATATTTTAGAAAAAAAAATCATCGTACAATCATCATCGTCATGACGAAGACGCTCATATGACGATCATTTGATCGTCATCGTCAAATTGTGCCGCTCGGGATACTTGTTTATGTATTAATATTACTGTTGTTGCGTGTCTGGGGTCAATGGAATAATTTTTCGTGTGGGAATCAAGTTCATTAAAATGAACAGCTTGAGTTTTATTTGAATTTTTGACTAATTAATGTTGTGGAAATTTGGAAAAATAATGAAGCGTTAATGTAGAAAGAAATATGATAATTTGAGTAATAAAAAGAATAATGCTTAATCCAATAAACACAGGAAAATTCTAATTCGATTTATCAGCACATAAAATCACCCTTATAAGCATATAATTTCTGCAAGCTAATACAATTTTCTTAACGCTCACATTAAATCTAGCATTTTTATGAACATCGAGAATTTTTCTAAGAATAGAATCAAGATAAGATGCGTGAGACATAAGAAAATCTCAACAGCATCAAAATTAATCTAACAAGAGAAACAAAATGAAAGAGAGAGGAAATAATGGGAATTGAAATGCCACCACATCATTACATTTATTTCATTTTTATTTTCACAACTAACAAGGCACAAGTTTGTGAATAAGCGTTTTCAAGAAGAACAAGCGTTCAAAGAAGAAGAAGAAGAAAATGTCTATACATATATTTTTATTCAACGACGCTTATCATTAATCTCATCAATTTAGCATTATTCAACAATGGGCCTGAAAGGCAAAATCGTTTCATGGTAGAGAAACTTTTTCAATCGTGCACATAAAAACTTATGGCCATGACTATGATGGTGTTGATGGTGATGATACTTTAAGAATACGAATGCATTTGGGAATTATGGGAACGTCTTAATTTAAATTGAATTAATGTTAAAGAGGCAGTGAAAGTGGAACAAACCAAAATATCTTCAGAGGTTTAAAAACTTTTATTCTGAATGAGACAAAAGAAGAAGCAGAGGCCAATTTATTTAACAAGTTACGTAACTAATGGACAGCATACCATTAATATAAACTGTTACGAAACTAAAAGAGCACAGAACTGGCACAAAATACTAAATTGAATGGAGGAACGAAAAAAGTTTGAGAAGTTGCTAATTTGGATTGAATATGACGCATAAATTGTAAAGATGGAACTGATTAATTTAAGCTTATTGATGATTTTTGACAACATTTGACAATGTTTGGTCATTTTAAGAGTACGGAGCAGATAAATCAATTTTTTACCAATATTGATCTGTTCCAAACCCTTGGTTCAGACATGTCCAACTCCGACTAACTGCAAGAAAACTCAAAACTTTCTCCGGAAACTCCTTGACACAGGAAAAGAAGTGGAATGAAAATTTGCGTAAAGCGATAATTTTCACAAGTCGTCAAGTTTCGTCGTTCTTTCCGTCAAGAGTCATGAGCCGTTGCTATATTTCTTATGGACTTCTCCATCTCCTAAACTCGCACTCGCCCTTTTCATTTTCTCAATTGCCTGTCTCATGATTGCTCTTCTTTCTTGTGCCTCATTTGAAAAGTTTGAATGAATTTTCTTCAGCCATTGCCACGGAGATAAAGTGACGACGATAAAAATCTTCATCATTTTTATGTTCCTAAATCATTTCTTATTGTATCCAATTGTATGCCGATTTCGATTGTGTCGTTGCTAATGTTTCATTCATCTTTTTTGTTGCTTGCCTAAAGCTTGATTTTGCTGTTACTCATTTATTTCGTCTGAGATTGATTCAAACTGATGGCTGACGAATAAAAAAGTGCTGATAATTTACTTCACATGCCTCTCTTTTCGATTCCATTCTTCGTGCCTCTATTTTGGAGAAAATAAAAAATTTAGTGACAATAGAATCAGTAAGGAAATGGAACAGAGACACAAAATAGAAGAAAAAGGCGTAATTAATCCAAAGATTTATTACAAGGACATGTTTTGTTATTCATGAAATATCGTCGTCGATATCAAAATGAATTGTCGCATAATAATACGAGGCAATGGCAAAGAAGGAGAGAAAAAGGCATTAAATATGTGACTTTTTTTAAACCTATATCTCTCGGTAGAGATAACATCAATCTATTGGATTTAGGTCACTTTTATAGTCCCGGGGATTTGTGAGAACAAAAAAAGGATAAAAAGGGACGAGATTTAAAAAATTTAGTGGAGTTTTTAAATTGAAGAAAATGGATAGCAGGAAGAAGATTTAAGGTGCTTAATAATTGAAATGTGGAGTGTTTGAGATGGATTTAGAGACTTAAGGAGATTTTTTGGGAATTTGGAAAATGTTCCTTTTTTATTTATTGATAAATGTGTGATGGTCCCTCTAAATTGGATTGTTTTGAGCACCTTGTAAGTGTGTACTTCTGCAAATTGATGGATATTACTCATATGTTAAGGTTTGACTAGGTTAGAATCCTGTAAAACTCTTAAATTATTGAACGTTGAAAAGTTGTAAATTTTTTTATAAAGTAATAAGTTTCAGGATTCAATTAGGGGGAAAACAACTTGGTAGGAAATTTGGTGGGAAAAGGGAATTATTCATTCACCGATAATTTTTCCTTATTATATTTTTATACTATTATGGGGCTGTTCACTCATGACGTTCATTGAGTGGGGAGGGGGGGTCAGAAAAGAACAATAGAAATTCCTGAAAATTCAATAACCTTTTTGAAAAGTGTTCGTTAATTTCGGACGTCATAAATGAACGATATCCTATCAATCTTTTATAAATTTTAAGGGGATAACAACATGATGAAAAAAACTTTCTATCAAATGTTTTTAATTTCGGATTTCCATCAAATGTAGAAAATTTATTATCATGGGGAATTTTCTCACCAAGTTGTTATCCCCCTTTGCATTATTCAATTCAAGTATTTTTTATAAAAAATTATAAAGGCAAACTTTAATCAAAAATTACTTCATGGGGAATTTTCTCACCAAGTTGTTATCCCCCTTTGAATTATTCAATTCAAGTATTTTTATAAAAAATTATAAAGGCAAACTTTAATCAAAAATTACTTCATGGGGAATTTTCTCACCAAGTTGTTATCCCCAAGTTGTTTTATATTTTTATAAAAAAAATTATAAAGGTAAACTTTAATCAAAAATTACTTCCACCTACGGAAAACATAACTTAATTAATGTGAAAACTAAATTTATCATCATCTTAATCTACAGTGACGCACATTGGGGTGTAACAAAAAATTCTTAATTTATTTTACACATACCTACGGATGAACATACGAATATCCTTCATTCTTTTTTCGCATAATTACATCCTACATCGTTTAGAGTTGAAGAAAAGCTCAAGAAAAATTTTTTATAATGAACATGTAATGAATCTATGTGGTGTAAAACTTTTTTCCATTCTCTTCTTTTTCCGTCTCATAATTGTCATTTGAATTTTTATCAAAAAATTACCCATGACGGTTCCTTAATTAAATTTATGCATAAGCATACGAAAAAAAAAACTACACAAAAATTTCTGCTCGCTTAATCGCTACCAGGAAAAAAAAATTAATGGAAAAAGCAAAGCGATGTGGGGAAGTAGAAAAATGTTATAGCAGCAGTGGCGTTATCAGTAAGTTGAGCATCAAAAACCATCTACGATAAGGAAGGAGAGGGCATGACAACAACAACAATGATGACAGTCGACAGTCGCAGCAGCACAAAAAAAAACTTACAACTTTTTCAATTCATAACTAGCACAAGCTTAAAGCGTATTCAGGAAAATGAATCTCACTGCTGTGTATGGTAAAATTCAGCAAAAGTTTTTAAGATATCAGATATGAAACTTACGTCTTGTAACATTTCGAAAACAGTAGCGGAAAAATAAGAGAGCTGTAAAGGAAATGAAAAACTTATTGAAATCCTTCATCTTCAGGAATTTCCGGAAACTAAAGCGGATAGTGAATTGTTGTGGATTTATTCGATATTAAATGTATTTTTGGGAATGCTATAGGAAGATTTGCAGACGAAGTGATTACTTTTAAACTTAATCTTAAACTAGAACTTAATACTTAGCTTTAAACTTTAAATCCACAAATGTGGTTCCTGGAATTTTAAAACTAAGCGAAAAAAAATTTCACAAAATCTTTCAAACCATAAAGTTGTGGTATTACACTGGAGTAGCATCAAGTAGCTGAAAAAGTTCCTCCTTTCTTACCTCTTTCATTTCATTTCATTTCAATTTATTACCATAACGGTTGTTAAATAAAAAAAAACAAAAATATTACAAGATATAATGCATAAGTACAGAAAAAAAAACTATTAGTAAATTTCAATTCATAGTTCATTAGATAATTCAGCTGTTGGGGATGATAGAAAAATAAAATTGATTAATTCATATGACGATTACTGGTTGATCGAGAAGTATGAGATGAGGTTCCTGGTCGAGTGGAGAAGGTTCTTCTTATAATAATATTTGGGCCCAAGCGGTCGAATATCGTAGAGCCACTAGATGTAGGAACAAGTGCAGAACTGTTTTCAGAGCGCTTTTTCTTCAACTTTGGTTTTTTATTAAGATTTTCCCTCCCCATTGCCAACGATTGTTCGTTTTTGTTGCAGAATAGAACATCAATATCAGAGAGACCAGACCAAAACTCCTTGCTTGATGTAGTTTCAATAGTTTTTTGGAATTTATCTTGTTGAGAAAGCGGAATAAAATGGACAGTAGATGTGCAAAAGGTTAGATTTCCAAAGTCGTTATTCAATGTTTTCAGCAAATCAGAACAGACATCATCAATTTTGAGTACGAATCGCAACGAAATTTCAGATCCGGAGATAGGCTCAAGTGATACAGCAAGCAATTTTTGGTATTTATCAACATTGGCTCTCTTTGACACAATCTTCCCTATTAAGCTAACTGGATTTCCTTGATTTTGTTTTGCTAATATATTAAGAACATTTCCATTATAGAATCCGTATGGAAAGAAGCTGGATCTACAGTTCACTGTATGTTTAACAATATTCGGGATAACGCTCATGTTTATTATCTCATTATTCATAATAAAATTAAATTTTCCGAAAACAATTTTAAGGATATTATTTTTCGCTTTGTCACTCAATGATCTGGTGTTATTTCGCGCTTCGACCAGAACTATAAGTAAATTCCTTAAGGAATCATTATACAGGACTTCGATAAGCAGTGAATTAACACCCTTAAAGCCAAAGCCTTTAATCATTACTGATTTCTCGCACAATAATTGATGGATCTCACCGATGAAACTCTCAATGTTGGTTGAGCCTTTTTTGAAGAACTTTAAAAATAATATTTCACCTTTCAATAAACTAAGATCTGTAGATGAGTCTAATATTTCCTCCTCATCATGGAATATCTGAAGAATGTCCTCATCCGAACTCATCCTACTTGTTTAAAGTAAATTAAAAAAAAAAAATTAATTTTAGTATTAGCTTAGCCTTGTTTGTAAATATGACTAATTCTTAGGTTAAACACGCCAGAGAGGGCGAACAACTATGATTGTAGACATTCACTGAAGATTTTTTTTTTTTTTTTTTTTTTTTGTTTTGTTTGTAAACAATATTGTGACAAATTGTGTGAATTAAATGAAGAAGTTCTTTGAAGTAAATTGGCCTGTTTTGACAAGTGACTCGTTGCGGCTGAGCAAGAATTGTTTAACATCCTTTTTAAACAGGTAGAAACTATTTACAGCTTTAATTTCAGCGGGTAATTGATTATAGAGTTTGCATCCATAAAATGTAATATCATCTTTCATAACTTTCTTTCTAGCACTAACCAGCAACAAATCCTGCTTCCTTAAGCTTCTAAGCCTGTTTATTTTTGGTAATGATCCTTCGTTGGATGTCATACATTTCCTAACTAAAACAATCGACGAATTGTAAATTAATCCAGTAACTGGTAAGATTTTCTTTGCTTCCTTATTAAATAAATCAGTTGTTGAGTATGTGTCCGGTAGGCCATAAATAATTTTGAGTGCTTTGTTTTGCAGCCGTTGAAGTCTTTGAATATCAATTGATCTGCAGTGCAACAGAGCAAATCCAGCATAGTTGATGTGCGATTGTATGTGAGCATGAAAAAATTGGATAAGTGCGTCTTGCGACATCACTGTTTTCAAATAGCGAAGGGCATTCACAGCCGAACCTATAGACTTTGAGATCCTTTCGACTTGATCCACAAACTTCAGTTCCGCGTCAATTATAATTCCAAGGTATGTCAGCTCGTTACATTTCATTATTGAGTTTCCAGTCAGTAGATTACTTAGCTCATCATATTTATTGCTACCTGTAATCATATATTTAGACTTGATGAGGTTCACTTTCAGTAAATTAGTTTCATAATATTTCATTATTGTCTCAAGGTCCGATTGTAAATTTTGAACATTCACTTGCAGGCTTTCTTTTTCGAGCGTGAGAATCAAAATTACGTCATCTGCGTATTTAAGAAGCTTTGAATTCATAGTAAGCGCAGAGATGTCGTTTATCATCAGATTAAATAGTAAAGGTCCTAGGTTAGAGCCTTGTGGGACTCCAAGCTCGACATTTTCAAGTGAGCTAAAACATTGATCAATTTTTACTCTTTGTTTCCTTTTTGATAGGAAACTGCGTAACACATCGTATGAGAGACCTCTAATTCCAAGGAAATTAAGCTTCCTCATCAAAAGTCTGTGATCAACCGAATCGAAGGCTTTGGAAATATCAAGCGAAATGACTAAAGCGTTTTTTCCACTCTCCAAAATGCTACTAATATGGTTCAGCATCATGCATATAGCCTCATTGCATCCTCGACCTTGTCTAAAGCCATATTGCAGTGGATCGAATATTTTTTGATTCTCAAGAAATTTATTCAGTTGATCATACAGAATCGCCTCAAAAATCTTGTCAAGAAGTGGAAGAATACTGATGGGTCTATAATTGCTGCATTCAAGTGGATCACCGCCTTTATGTATTGGGATTACTGAAGATTCCTTAAGTCTGTCTGGATACACGCCTGTTGTGAGCATCAAGTTAAATATGTTCGCTAAATGAGGTGAGATTTCTTCCATACAACATTTTAGAATTTTTGCACTGATACCATCATACCCACAAGATTTATTATCATTCAGCAGAGCAATGTGATGCATAATTGTGTCATTAGAAATTTCTTCAAAACAGAAAGTTTTGTTTATTAACTTACCAATATACTTATGGGAATCTATTGTGGAACATCCTGCTTTACTGGAGCCTATGAATTTCTTTTGGAATGCGTTTGCGATTTTAACTGGATCTGATAAATATTTGTCCTCATTATCTCTAACTATCATTACTGTATTTCTTTTTGTTCGGCCGGTTAAATCATTAATTATTTTCCACGCATGGCTCATATTTTTAAGTCGCAGCTTCCGATAATAAGATTTAGCTTTAACATTTCCATATTGTTCGAAAATATCAGTTAATTCATTGAATTTAAGCACAAGATTACTACGAGGAAGACTCATTTTTTTCCTTATGTCTATTTTTTCCTCTAGATTATGAAGTGTACAAAGCATTTCTCTGTAACGATCGGAAAACCTACGGAAAACATAACTTAATTAATGTGAAAACTAAATTTATCATCATCTTAATCTACAGTGACGCACATTGGGGTGTAACAAAAAATTCTTAATTTATTTTACACATACCTACGGATGAACATACGAATATCCTTCATTCTTTTTTCGCATAATTACATCCTACATCGTTTAGAGTTGAAGAAAAGCTCAAGAAAAATTTTTTATAATGAACATGTAATGAATCTATGTGGTGTAAAACTTTTTTCCATTCTCTTCTTTTTCCGTCTCATAATTGTCATTTGAATTTTTATCAAAAAATTACCCATGACGGTTCCTTAATTAAATTTATGCATAAGCATACGAAAAAAAAAACTACACAAAAATTTCTGCTCGCTTAATCGCTACCAGGAAAAAAAAATTAATGGAAAAAGCAAAGCGATGTGGGGAAGTAGAAAAATGTTATAGCAGCAGTGGCGTTATCAGTAAGTTGAGCATCAAAAACCATCTACGATAAGGAAGGAGAGGGCATGACAACAACAACAATGATGACAGTCGACAGTCGCAGCAGCACAAAAAAAAACTTACAACTTTTTCAATTCATAACTAGCACAAGCTTAAAGCGTATTCAGGAAAATGAATCTCACTGCTGTGTATGGTAAAATTCAGCAAAAGTTTTTAAGATATCAGATATGAAACTTACGTCTTGTAACATTTCGAAAACAGTAGCGGAAAAATAAGAGAGCTGTAAAGGAAATGAAAAACTTATTGAAATCCTTCATCTTCAGGAATTTCCGGGAACTAAAGCGGATAGTGAATTGTTGTGGATTTATTCGATATTAAATGTATTTTTGGGAATGCTATAGGAAGATTTGCAGACGAAGTGATTACTTTTAAACTTAATCTTAAACTAGAACTTAATACTTAGCTTTAAACTTTAAATCCACAAATGTGGTTCCTGGAATTTTAAAACCAAGCGAAAAAAAATTTCACAAAATCTTTCAAACCATAAAGTTGTGGTATTACACTGGAGTAGCATCAAGTAGCTGAAAAGTTCCTCCTTTCTTACCTCTTTGCATTAAATTATCATCTGTCATATTCCATTTTTTGACTTGAAACGATTTGTTGAGGGATACAAAAAGCAAGCATAAGAAACGAGAGATTAAATAAAAAAAACGAATAAGATGGAGGTCTTCCACTGACTTGTATGCTATAATAGCAACAACAACAAAAACAACAGTAAAGAACAAACATTTCTACGTATATGCAATAAGCAATAGTTTATCTACACTATACATATATAAGGAATTTGATTAATATGGGGCGGATGTATGATTTATGATTTTCATGTAACATTTATGTAATCTCCTCTCCTCCTCACCTTTCTGCCCCCGCATCTTCATATTTTCATAATAAAACACAGCATAAAGGAACAAAGAACTCAGTCAAATAATTTTTGGACCATTAATCGAGCTCATAAGCTAGTTGTGTTTATGAGATGTTGGAGATTTTTTTTTTGATATGGAATGGAAGCGCATTAATTCGTTGATTTAAGGATTGTCTGTGACCTACAAAAGTGTCCTCAAATCCTCAAATCTCAAATCTCAAAGCCTCAAATCTTCAAATCTTCAAATCTTCAAATCTTCAAATCTTCAAATCTTCAAATCTTCAAATCTTCAAATCTTCAAATCTTCAAATCTTCAAATCTTCAAATCTTCAAATCTTCAAATCTTCAAATCTTCAAATCTTCAAATCTTCAAATCTTCAAATCTTCAAATCTTCAAATCTTCAAATCTTCAAATCTTCAAATCTTCAAATCTTCAAATCTTCAAATCTTCAAATCTTCAAATCTTCAAATCTTCAAATCTTAAAATCTTAAAATCTTAAAATCTTAAAATCTTAAAATCTTAAAATCTTAAAATCTTAAAATCTTAAAATCTTAAAATCTTAAAATCTTAAAATCTTAAAATCTTAAAATCTTAAAATCTTAAAATCTTAAAATCTTAAAATCTTAAAATCTTAAAATCTTAAAATCTTAAAATCTTAAAATCTTAAAATCTTAAAATCTTAAAATCTTAAAATCTTAAAATCTTAAAATCTTAAAATCTTAAAATCTTAAAATCTTAAAATCTTAAAATCTTAAAATCTTAAAATCTTAAAATCTTAAAATCTTAAAATCTTAAAATCTTAAAATCTTAAAATCTTAAAATCTTAAAATCTTAAAATCTTAAAATCTTAAAATCTTAAAATCTTAAAATCTTAAAATCTTAAAATCTTAAAATCTTAAAATCTTAAAATCTTAAAATCTTAAAATCTTAAAATCTTAAAATCTTAAAATCTTAAAATCTTAAAATCTTAAAATCTTAAAATCTTAAAATCTTAAAATCTTAAAATCTTAAAATCTTCAAATCTTCAAAGCCTCAAATCCTTTTTTTTTCCTCAAAGTCTCAAATCGTCAACTCTCAAATGGATCAACAAAATCGACAGAACCTGACATTCTTCATCATCATGATGAAAAAATTCCTATTCACTTTCAAAACTTAGTTTCCAAATTGCTGGAACAGTAATAAGTCCCTTGACAATATGACAGCAATTTACCACTCTAACCTTAATAGCAGTTCCACTTAATCTTTCAATTTTGATATTAGCAACAAAAAAACAACAAAGTTTCTCATTCCTATTTTGGAGCAAAAAAGACGAATGAGAAAAATGAGAAACCGAGAACTTTTTTCTTCCTCATTGTGTCCTCATATTTATCTCCATACATGAACTCATTGTACTGTGAATATAAAACTGAATATTTATGATCATTGTTGCCATGTATCTGTGAGAATATGAGACATAACTTACACTTGCTTTATGCACAATAGCTAATTTTTTTCTGCCTTCATTATCATTCCAGAACTGCCACATTTGCCGCCAACGCTTTGGACGGAGTTTACAAAATACGATCCAGGCGACATACTTCGAGCGAATTGTTCGACACAGCCATCAAAACCCAGTGCTACAATAACTTTTCTACTTAATCAATATGCGGTGAGTTGTTTGACTTCTTGTTTATTTTTTGCTTCTAGCAAACATCACAAGCTTTTAATGAAGTTGTGAATGGTACAAAAAAAAGAACAAAGAAGGAAGACGTCTTATTAATTTTCTTGTTCTTTTGAATCTTCGTGTGCGACATTGAAGCTAAATAAGACAATACAATTTCATTTTCTATTTCGAGTGGAAGGCTTAACGTTTTCATTGCTATGGAATTTGGTTACTATTAGGAAATGTAATATTTTTGTATCATCCTTGGATGTATCAGGCATTAAATTACTTTCGATAGACATAGACATTCTTCGATGACAATTATGAACGAAATAATTTCGGGGATTGGATTAATTTAAGGTCCTGATTGTGGATATGGCTCGAAGAGCATATATGTAGTAGATAACCCTGAGCATAGGGCTCGCGATTAACTGGATATATGTGTATGACGGAAAGCCGAAATGAGATAAGTAAGTACCTTGGTTGCCGAGTGGCAGGGATCTCAGATCAAGTGTTCAAAGATCGCCTCTTTTGAGGTCATGTGTTTGATTCCCATCGAACCCGACTAGTTTTACATTATATGCACATATAGCAGTTATAGGAAGATCTACACTGATGTCATTAAAGATTCAGACAGTTCGGAATCCTCAAAAGATTTTTCAAGGGCCTTTTAATTGTTTTTCATTGCTAATGTTACCATGACCCTTTTACCATGTCACTAATGCAGCAATAATTCAGATTTCTTGAAAGAAATTGTAATGAATAATTTTATATGCAAATTCCGGATGGTTGAAGTTCTTGTAAAAGTTCGTTGGTTTTCAATTTAAATTGAAATGATTTAATATTCAAATTGCAGAAATATTTACATTAGAATGATGAAAGTTTGTCCTAGATATTTGAAGAAGCACTTTTGTTATCAGCTTGGAATTCTGTCATCTAAAGATTCCTTCATTTCTGTAGTTTGTGTGGCAGTTCTTAGGGGCCGTTCACTTATGACGTCCAGGGGTGGGAGGGGAGGTTCAGCAAGAAAAGAACAATAGAAATTCCTGGAAATCCATTGTTCTTTTTTGAAAAATGACCGTTAATTTCGGAAGTCATAAATGAACGAACCCTTAAGAAATAAAGTCTTATAATGATGACAATTTAAAATCAAGGATTCTTATCGAAAGTTGAATATCAAAGCATATCTAGGTTACCACGTAACTAAATGATGAACCTATTGACCAAATGACGAAGTATGTAATAGATTAAACCTCCCAAAAGCATCCATTCTACCTGATATTTCACCTTTTCAATCAAAGAAGATTACTTTATGAAATTTACAGCCCCAAATGTCCCCCGATACTTGACAAAAGATATCTTAATGGTAACGAGACAAATTTTAGTAATTATATGAATTTAAAATTCAAGCAGCGAGCAAATTTCGACTGAAAAAGAGTCTCTATTGAGGAAATAAAAAGGAAAAGCTGATACAATATTATTAAAAATATCAAAAGCTTTACGCACAACATGAGAAACTTTTTTTTGTCCTTTTTGGATCCTCATTTCTCTTTCAAGCCTGATTTTTGAGTAAAGGTGCGTGAACTTGTTCATTATGTCAAGCTTTATAAATATTACTTTTCATGACTGTTGACACTAACAACTTCGCCTTTATGCTCCCATCAATAGCAAATTCTATTATGGCAATAAATCGAGATTCATATGAAAAAATGGAACTAAGGCAAAAAAAAACATTCTGCAGAAGACATTAAAATTCTACTCGAATCCGACTCCCTCTTCTTCTTTTAAATGTCGAATTGATATTTTCGCTCTCTGCCTTGCCTTGCCTACTTACAAAGTGCAAAGAAAAGTTTTTGCTTCTACTGCTACTTCCACAGCCTCTTTTTTTATTGTGTATAAATGTTATTTTGTGAGAAGCTTATTTCTTTGTATCTTGCTATACCCCCTCCTAGTTTGCTTGCTGTGCTGGATATTATACAACTTTTTATGTTGTCTCAGTCATTTTAACAATTATATTTCAATGACAAAGTTTGACTCTCATATTTTCCGTATACACGCTCACTTCTTGTAACTGCTCGAGATCCGATTTACTTTAATTTAAGGCAGACAGAGTGAAAAAGGGATAAGAGCATGAAGAACAGAAAATTAATGATACAAACTTTTGTTTAGATAGCAGCTCATTGAAGCATGATTAATGCATGAAAATAGAAGGATGAGTGGATAAATATGAAGAATTAAGTCTGCAGGTTATTTTCATTTGTCACTTTTGAGTTTGTTTAGTGCATGATTAATTTGGTACATGAAATTATGTTGTTTATTTTCGGGTCGATACTGAAGGGTTGAAGGAGTTGACATCCCTTGCTTAAGCTCTTTACAGCAGTTCTCAAATTGATTGACCAACAAATGTCTTCAAATGTAATTTCCGATACTCAAAATTCGTTGACAATCATAATTAAATATCCTCAGGCGATTCATCTGATAGCCTTCTGAATTAAATGTTTAAAGAGAACATCTCTTAGTAACAACTTGAAACTTTCAAAATCACAAACAGATATAAAATGTTCGCCATTCAAACTTCTTCAATGGACGTCAAGAAAATGAAGCCATTTGAAACATAAGACTTAATGCTTTCAAGCTATTGAAAAATAAACTTTTCTTTTATAATACAAAAAAAGTTTCCGATCACTTGAAAGTATTTTTCTTTAATTTATTAAAGCTCTTAAAAGCTCACGAAAAATTTGTTCATGGAAGTAAACAGTTCATTATTTTTTATTTATTTTGTAAACAAATTTTCTTTATTGTAAATATCTTTGAGCAATTATCTTTAGTTCCTTTATTCAACAACTCGTCTAATTAAAATAGTTTAATAACAAGCATGCAGAGGAGGTGTTGGGTTTAGATAAACTTTGTGGTAGGAATGTAAATTTCACGTGAATTTATCAATTAACAGCTATGCAGCTTTATAACAGTTGAACATTGATTCGTTGATACTTTAATTATTGTTTCTGAGAATTGAGATTAATACTTTACTCATACTCAATGTTTTATGGAGTATGTCTTGCCCCTACCTTGCTATTAATACTTAAAAGTGTGATGTTACTTCAGTGAGCTAAAGTGGCTCAGTGGCGGAATGGTTTAGTACTTCGGTACCTAATTATTGCAATACCAACACAGCGATCAAGGGTTCGAGACTGGGCATGAGAAAATTTTCACTTGTCCTTTTTCGAATCATATGTACTGGAAATGAGGCTTACAGCCTTCCTTTGTAGGCTACAGACAGAAATGTCATCAAATGAGTGGTTCGGATCCCACTTTAAATTGTAGGTCCAGGTTTGAGTGCAGTGGTTTTGGCATATTCTCACTCGTTAAATTCTCATTAGCTGCGAAACGCCCTAGCGCATTTCTGGATTAATTGTGATAAATCGATTTTTGATGCTAGGGTGCTCTAGACCATAAGACCCTCTGAAATCTACTGATATTCAATTCTAAACGCAGCGCCAGTATTTCAAAAGTAAAACAAGCGAAGCAAAGCAATTCCTGCAAAGGAAATCCAACAACATCTTTATTCCTCATTATACACAGCCATTCATTAAATGAAACAACAAAAAACTCTATTAAAATTCATGAAATTTCCATTAAATGTATTACTTTTTTATTGAGGTACTTTTTTACTAACGACAGCTAATTTCTTGCGCATATAAATTAATTGAGCATTTTCCTTGTAAGTTTTCGATATTTCTCACTTAAACGAATTTATTGAAGGGTGAGGATGTACACAGAGGCTGGAAATGATAAACACTCTCCAGAGAAAACACGAAAAAAAACATGAAAAATTTACCAGTTCAACATAATCATCGTTGTGCCATGTACTACAATTAACTGTCATGTTAAATTAAAATAATTATTTTTCCTTTGTATTTATGGTCGGTTCACGATAAAAATTACGGTTGTTTTGACCATTAAAATATTTTGTTTTTTTTTACGTAACTTACAACTTAATTGCTACAAAATGCACGTAGTCATGAGAATTCTCGCTTGAAAGTTTTTCATTAATTGTAATTAAAATGATGGCGCACCATAGTCACCATTAGGAGGTGGGGGTGGACCATATTCAGGTTTTGGTGGGGGTGATGGGGGTCCATAGCCTTGAGCTGGCTTGTTTTCTTGTGCTTTATATTTAATGAAATATACTTCAGGCTTAGATGGTTCTGTGGGTGCAACACTTGGCAACTCAATTTGTGGCTGTTCTTCTGGCTTCTTGACTAAGACATAAACAAGTGTTTTATGTTCATCTTGTGGTGTTGGTGGAATGGTTGGTGCTGTATATCTTGGTGGTTCTGGAGCTTTAATGAAAATTAATTTATAATGCTTTCTTGGTGCTTGAGGTTGAATGACTTGTGGCTGACGAATATCTTCTTCATCATCTGGTGGCAAGTGCACGTAAACATTTTTAGTAATTATAGGTTGTTGAGGTGGTGGACCATAACTTTGTGCAGGAGTTCCATAGCTATCTCTGGGAGCATTTATTGCTGCTGAAGGAGGAAATGCCAATGGTATTTGAGGTGGACCATTTTGTACAATTTGTCTAGGCAACTGCTGAAGTAATGCTGGTGCTGGTGGGGGTGGATATGGAAGTGATTGACGAGCTCTCACTGGTGGTTCAGGATTTGCATTTACAACCGCAAACGCGACTGACAAAATCTGGGAAAGACAATTGGTGAAAATTAAAATTTATTATTTATGAAAATCTGGAATTTCCATTAACTTATGGATCGGCAGTAATTGATGAATTAGTAATGAAATTTATGTGCGAAAATGATATAATACACTCTTGACATTTGTGTATCATAGTTCATTAATTTTCATCGCATTGTGTAATGAAATCTAGATTTGAGAACTAAAACGCTTTTTGTGTCTGAGTTCCTATTTCTGATTTTTTTAAATCCACAAATTGAAAATATTATTACAATCACGACCAATCAAGACTCATTTCCATATCAAATACTGATGACAAAATGGATATAAAAATCACATTTGCAGTTCCGCAAATATGTTGAAAAATAATTTAATGATGCAAATAATTAAATTTCCATAAATTAATTTTTGATATGATATTTTATGTCGGTATGAAAATTTGTGGTTTTGGTTAATTGCATTTGCTACAGCAATATGCGATATCCTTTTCCATCAATAAATCACAATATGTATTTATGTACATTAATGATAATTATGCTTAAACTTTTAATATTTTAATGCGAAATGATGATGAAATTTTTAGAGTTAATTGTACTTATTATTAAGGTACGAGAACAAATGTTTGAATGAATAATATGATGAGTATGGTTGCATCTGAATGAAGTTATTAAAAGCTTATTATTTAAAAATAAATACTTTTTTGATGGAAAAATTAAAAACGCTGGAAAATCATTAAAACAGATCGAATTTAATGTGCTTTGAGTGATGATTGGGAAAATTTAAAGGAATGGGTTGATTCAGTTCCAGGTGATGTTATTAATCTTTTCTGCCCCATCGGCACATTATACTATCAACCCGGCTGCTGGGTGGCAAACATTTCAATGAATTTCAATGTGTGCCGATCAGGCTAGTTTTTGAAATATTTTACGTGCTGAAATTGTTTGATTAATGAATTTAAGAAACTGAAGGAAGTTTCACTTTTATAACTTACAACGCAATTTAATTAATGCACTTCCTATACATTTTAATCCATTAGCTCCAGGAAAACTTTATAAAAATTCAGGAAATTATTCCATTATAATGAATAAATTTAATTGAAAAGTTTATTCCTCAAATAGTTCTTAAAATGCAAAAAAAAATCTCAATTTAAAGTCAGCGAATAATTACGTAAATTGTGTTTATTCAAAGGGGTCGTTCACTTATGACGTCCATCAAAAAACCTGATTTTTAGAACCCCCCTCCCGCCCTTGGTCACAAAAATTCTATAGAAAAAAAATTTCCATTGTTTGAACTGTCACAAAATCCTAGACCCCCCCCCTAAATGTCAGATGTCATAAGTGAACGGCCCAAAAGGAATCTGATTGCTTTATTCATTGATGCTCCTGACGAAAGAATCAATTATTATTACTCTATATTATGAAGCTGTTTGAGTTCGTTGTAAATGATCTAACCTTGAAACAAACTAAATCAACAAAGCTGGATCAGCAAAAACTTTATCAAAAAATAGAAATTTGAACCAAAACTCATCTCTATAGACAATCACAAGTTTATAAGATAAGCACACACGAAAGGATCATGATGATAAATTTAAAATTCATTCAATTAAGAGAATTTAATGCTTGAATTCACTGATTGACGAGAATGTGATCAAAAAAAGGGAATTTTTCATTTCAATTTTAAAAAGGTTCATCAAATTTTAATTTTTCCATTTCACAATCATCACGCACATTCGTTTCCTCAGACGAGTCTCTCTCTCACTCTTTTTAATTTCAATTAAGTGCCTCGGCATGATCGAACGTAGAAGCACATAAAAATTTATGCTCACACAATATGTACACTCACCAAAATCAATTTCATCTCACTGTTATTTTTATGTGTGTATATTCTTTTTTTTTTATAGAAAAGCTCTTTGAAGCAGCTTTTTTTTCATAAAACAGTCAGTAGCTGTAGCGGAAAAATGTCCGTATTTGAATTTTTTTTTTAAAAATAGTGACAACAAAACTAATGAAAAGCACTTTCAAAAATAATTCTTTTTTATCATCGCACGACAAGCAGACACAGCAAAAAGGAAGGGAATTAAAAAGTTTTTTTTTTTTCACTAAAGTCCTTTCCGCTTGAATTTTTTATTGATTGCGGCTCTCGAAAAAATAAATTTGCGACTGATATACAATGTGACAAGTGCTTTTGTTTTTATATACCACACGCATTGAAGCTGATACCACTCTCCCCCATAACACGTTGAGTGAAGCAGTTTTTGTTGTCAGTTTCGCTCTCTGCTGTTTGTTTTTTCGTTTTTTTTTCGTCTCGAGTCCAATAAATTCATAACGCATTTATTCAGCCTTTTTTTGCGCTGCTGATACTGCTGCTCTTCTTGAATATTTATGGGAAAAACTAGCCTTGAATGATTTTGATGGATATGAAAAAAAAAAAATCCAGAATAATCTACTTAAAAAGTTTTTTTACTATTCACTGCTGTTGACTAAAGGGCTGTTTGCATGTTTTGTAACATTTGGGAACGTCAAAGTTGTGTTTCGTTTAGGTTTTCCAATTGCACACTTTTAAGCGGGACAGTCTCGCTTTTCTAAACAATGTACCACATAAAATCCTTACTTACTTATGTCGATGACCTTACAGATCAATTGTGATCCATGGCCTCACTCAGATGCCGCCTAAAACTGTCTCTATCGCTGGCTACTGCTTGCCAATTTCATATAGCAAATGCAATACTGTCTCTATCAACTGCTTCTTTCCATGAGTTCTTTGGAATTCCACGTGCTCTTTTCCATCCTCAAAGTCTGACTTAAAGACCTTACTTAATGCAGCTTCCACATTAAAATCCTTAAAGTCTCACTTTTTGACCAAAAATTGGCAAAAGCAGATGGTCAGCCTAGTTATGTTGTATGTTAACCCCAGTTAAGGTTTTCAATCCCGGGTTTAAAATGTACTGAATCCCGGGTTTGATCCCGAGATTACATACATTTCAATCCCGGGATTGAAAACCCTAACCCCAATTTTCACAGGAGGAGCCACACACAGAATTACAAAACATCCAAATAATCCCAACTTGAACGAGTTTGTTATGTAAATTATAGACCATAATCCATAAAAAAATTCCATTTCATACATGAGCCATTATTCAGTTGTCGTATCCATAAACAACACAAATAAACAATCATATACAGCCATTTATAGGTTAGTCGCGAAATGCATAAAACAAATCAAAAAATAAACAGATATTGCTATTGTCACACAATATATCGCATGAATAATCCATAAATGATTCGAAAAATGAGTCAATTTGAAGTTTAAATAAAAGCATGTGGCACTGACAACTTTCCAGCTTTAAGCTTAAATCACAACATCAAATTTAATTATGCTTAATTTCCACCTTCTTGAGAGGAATTTTCATGGCTTTTATGCCTCAGCTTTATTCTCAATTAATGATCATCATTTTCCTTCTTTCCTCATTGTCCTCGATGTTTAAATAGAACTTTGTCCAAAAATATGTCTCAGAATGACTACGACAATGTCCATCATTATCATCTACTTCATCGTCCTTTTGTTTCGTCCCTCATTAATTTAATTAATACGATATAATACCTCCAACGATACTTAATTATATACATCTAGTGCTACATGAATCTGCCACACACCTTAAGAGGACGAAAGAATGATTTTAGTTCCTATGAGACAGAAGAAGAAAGTAAATCCTTTTTGCAATTTAATGCCAACAGTTTGAGAAATTGAAAAGAAGATAGCAGTGACATCAGTCTACATGCTGCTTAATGCATAAGAAATTGTAGAAGTGCACTGAGCAGGAGATTATGTTTTAATTCAATTTATTCTACCATGAAGCATACATTATTAATTGCAATTTGAAGATGTCAAGGAAGAAGACTTTTTGTCTGTGTCTGTATCTTTAAGGATGACGCTATATGTTCTCAAATATTTGATTTCTGAAATGTCAAACCAACAATCAGTTAAATTTATTCAATTCTTTCACAAAATCAATATACTTCAAAAACATCTTGGCTCATCGAATGTCATATAGGCAGTCACGAATAAAAATACATTCACTGAAACAGAAAATATGAAAATATTTTTTTTTATCGACACGCATCAAAAGCACCGAACAAGCTCGATTTATTGAAAAAAATAAAATGCTTGGTGTGCGACTCTACATTTTGACTGTCAAATGAATTTTTATATTTTGGCAAGACACTTCAATGTCAGTGGAGCACACGTTGCGTCATTTATAATCAACGTATGTGGATCGAATTAAATTTTATGGCTGCTATTTTTGAGCTATTGACAAATTTAGTGCAAGTCATGTAAATGATAATAGTCGTGTCCTGATGGTACTAATCGTGGCATGATACCTGAATTTTGTGAGTAGAGTGAAATTTGGGGAACCGAGTCATCTGTAAGTAATTCTGCCAGTTTCAGAATCAGGTTGCTGTTGCCTTATTCTATGACTGTATGCTTATTTGTGATAATATGGGTTCGAATCCCATCAGATCTTAAAGAAAATTTAAGCCCAAAAAAAGCACAAGTCGGTTAAATGAATAAAAATCCGGTGACAAACTGGCATGACTCTGACATGGTGCTAGCTTCAATTCAAATTCAGCACCATGCCAGAGTCACAACTGGCTTGGTGCTGGATTTCTGATAAATTAACCGACTTGGAGCTGGATTTCTGATAGATTAATCGACTTTGAGCCAAATTTTGGATCGATTAACCGACTTGGTGCCAGATTTCTAATCGATTGACCGACTTGTGCCATTCAGCGCCCCTAAAACTAAGCTCCTTCCTTCTCTGTAATCTGCAATTACAAAAGATATCACCAGCCCAAGTCACACCGAATCGAAAATAATTTATTGTAGATGATGAAAATTCATCCTATTTTGAATATTCGACATATTCTTATTGCGTTTTTGCAATCAATTTCAAATCACAAAATTGCAATCGACGTTTAATTGAAAAATATAAATCAGCAATTTAATTGAAAATTTTTGTCTCCTTACCTTTCATTATTTTTTTTTTCATCTAAAGCGATTGTAGATGAAATAAATATTGAGCAAGTGGAATAAGTTAACTTTTGATGAGTTTGATGACGCATTTGTTGTATAGAGTAGGAGAGGTTCCTCTCAGCATGAGAGGTCATTTTCTAAGGCAACAATGAAATTTGACTCGCGCACTTCCAAAAGAACCGACTTCAGAATAAAATTTTCATCTCAAATAAAAGAATTCCGCTCAAATTAAGAAGGACAATTTGTACCTCAAAAGTTTCACGTCGTTCCGAAAAATTGTGAAAATGCAAAAAATATAATTTATGTGAGTGAACTCAAATTGTGAAAGAGGAAAAGACAATTTGCAGGCAAATATTTTGGGACAAATATTTAAATTAGAATTGTCTATGCACACTCATAAATGAAACTCTATTCAGAATGGGGAAAACGATGATAATTATTAGTGACTCTATGTGTATATGTGTTTATGACAGATTCGGTATCATATGCAGAGGTGAAAAGCTTAATAATTATGACCATTTTCAGTGATTTGTTTTCATTAATTAACATAGAGATAAAAGTTGTTCAAGGAATTGGATCTAAGCTGTTAATTAATTTTTTGTGCTTCATATTAATGAACAGATGTGACACTACAGAGCATAAGGAAAGTGTTTATTAACCCCTGTAGACAGGAAGGTAAAAATTTGTTAACACTTGGTCTGTCATGGCTAAAAAACCTCAGAATGTAGTGGTTAGTTCTCCGTTGGGAGCTGTACAGGCATTTACATAATTTTTTCAAACCAAACTTCGTCTAGACAACCATGATAAGGACTTTCTGTCGTTATGCAATCCAACCATGCAATCATACATTTACCATAATTATGATATATCACCTGAGAATATTTTTTGTGTGCTAGCTTGAAGCGATTTAATGTAATTTTAAGTTAGTGTGCTTTTGGGGACCAAAATGAGCTTGTGTATAATTATAATTATAATCAAATAACAACTGTTACTGTAAATTATTCACTGTGGAATATGAGATGCTCGAATTTTGTAATTGGAATAAATATCCAATTAATAATATTTTTATGCTCTGTGGCATGAGAAACAAAAACTATGGAACCCAAAAAATATTACAAAATAGACAGATAGATAATTAGGACCAAAAGAGAGACGTTTCTATTGACTTTTAATTATAAAATGAAGCAAAATATTATGTTTTCTATCAGAATTTACATTTCATCACGACAAGTTATGTTCGACATGAAAACAAATAAATTGTGAATATATTCTAATTAATGTTTTGCGTGACAAAGGATCCTCGAATAAATTTTCCCTTTGGGGTCATTCATAAGTTACGTCTGACTCATCATTTCTATTAAAATAATATTTTTGTATTGAGTATCGCAGCTAGAGCACGGCCTAAAACGCTTAAGTGGGGACACGACCCTCCTGGCTAAGCGCCTGCATGCAGCTATATAAGAGATTGGATGTCATTGGTCGACGACCCTACACCTATCTTTATTAACATAACTGTAAAAGCATGAAAAAAACATTTCTGGCTCTAAATAAACTCAATTACGAAAAGTTATCATCAATTAGTAGTCGCTATAAATTTATCTACCGAGTCTACTAATGGAATCATTTTAGTCATTATCAAAACATATTTCACAAGCTAACAGAAATGAGCATAAGCATCATTAAATTTGCTAATTAGTTTTTTTTCCTCACTCCTCCAAGTCCAATTTAGTATTTGTGTGAATTTGGCATGCATTTTAATTGGTATTTATCAAGCAGCACGCAATCATTTTTCAAAATTTGCCATTAAATGAGAATAATTTCAGACGAGTGACTCCCGATAAGCATTAAATATTCAATATTTCATGATTTTTCATTATAAATTAGGTAAATAATAAAAATTATCACACTGAACGAGTTAATCAGTTTAAAAGCATTGGTGCTCAGTGATTTTTGGTTCAGTTCTCCGACATTGCATTTATTGAGTACGAAACATATTGAGTTGTGTCGACTATAGCTCATGAAAATTTTAAAAAAAATTATTTTATTTTAAAAAAATACAATATAAATGCACACCGGAGAGAATGAGATGGAATGAAGGATGCTTGAATAAATTTAACATGCTTTTGATTTTATGTTGTTTATAAGCTGAATATGTATACATTGAGTCCAATAATATATATTTTATGTATAATGTAGACGACAAGCAGCAGCAGCAGCAATACAAGAAAATTGTTAATATCGTTTAATGAGAGTTTATGGAAAAAATTTATCAATATTTAAACATTATGACCGAGAAATTCTCATCGGAGAATATTTTGTTGGAAATGAAACAAGCTTTTTTGATTACTGTTCGTGGTCAGGTGGTTTTGGTCATCGATCATTATTATGGAAATTTGGATTCTGATTTATATTAATATGTTCGATTTTGATGACACATGAGAATCCCTTGAATACAATTAATGCTTATCAGGTAGCTAGCTTATTGTAGATTATTGGGAATCGATGCCAGGGAGGTACATAAGTGTATCTTGATTGACCACAGATGATCCTACGAACAGTATATCCCGACAAGCAAATGTAAGATAAATATTTATTTCCCATAGCTCCAATAATTAGTCAACAAGCTGTAGATAAATTTTTGATTATGTCATGCTGCTAAAAAGATTTTTTTATTTATTCATTCCCGAACGAGATTTATTCATATTTATAATATTAAATTAATGATTACATAATTTATTTGAATGGAAGGTTAATGAAAGCACCAGCAACTTTTTTTTCGGTCTATAAAGGCAGAACGGAACCTAAAATACCTTAGAAATGCTTTCAACATTCCCATGAGTCATGACCTAAATCATTTCCTTACAGATTCAATAGAATGTAAAATAAGAAGCAATGGAATGAGGAAAATAATCTTTTTATAATTTGTTGGCTTTTTGTTGCTCACTTTTCTACACAATTTCACATTTTACTGTTGTTGCTGTTTCAGCCACATTCGATTAAAGATCTTGTGAAATTTAACAAGTCGCCTTCAAGCGCTTTACTGCCAGTAATTGAATTTGCGATCTTTCATTTCGCTTTTCTTAAACTAAATTTTGTTGACGTCCAATTTTCGTTTCTTTCTTTCATTCGCCTTCCATTTCATGCGAGGGGCTATATGAATGAGATATTCTGTGTAACAGCAATAAGACGATGAAAATAATGTCATACTATTCACGACAAAGTCGCCAAATTAAATTACTATAAAAATGCTTTTATCGAATATTCTCATCCTCCTCCTTTAGCTTCTAATTTCATTCCGTGCTTATTCTCATGCTGAACACAAAGACATTTTTATTTTTCATTATTGAAGCAAATGAAAAGGATCTTTGAACTTTAATCGATTAAATGATCTGTTATCGTTGACTTTAAATTCTATTTGAATTGGTAAAATTATTCGTTCAATTCTTTTTGGTGCCATTACCATAATTTAATGGTAATTTATAATGCTGTTCTAATATTTGGTTGAATTTTTGAAAATTGGGAATTCATCTTTGGGGCCATTCACTTATGACGTCCGACATTTAAGAGGGGGGAGGGGTCTAGGATTTTGTGACAGTTCAAACAATGGAAATTTTTTTTTCTACAGAATTTTTGTGACAGAGGGGGGGAGGAGGTCTAAAAATCAGGTTTTTTGATGGACGTCATAAGTGAACGACCACTTTCGTCTGCTGCTGTGATTAATGAGGAACGGGTTGTTCATCTCTTGATTTGCTTGTTTGACTTGTAAATAAAAAGCTTAGCAGATCCAGAACTATTGCTTCCATCTCTCGTGACACAACACGGCACTCTCTCACCGGTATAAACTTAAAATCAAGCTGCAACCACTTGACATCCATGACTATAATATTGCAATCATTTTCAATGTGTGTTGATCGGTTCTTTCACAAAAAAGTTAAAGCAGAAGCTATGTTCAACTAACAAATCAAGCAAGACAGCATCAGATTGCAATATTTCTTCTACCAAGCCATTATGCCATCGGAAACACACTTTAAGTAATAAAATATGCTTTATGACAAAAATATTTACAGTCATTAAAGTTTCAAGTATAAATCCCATTAAATTTCCACTCGATAAAGTGTCTTCTGTGTGTGAGCAGAGACTAAGAAATCTTTGCATATCAATTTGTGCATAAATCACCCATTCTGTTGGAAGTAAAACTTATAAGTTTTATCCATATCAATAAAAAGTTCCATGGACTCTTGAATGCTCAATATTGCGCAGTTCCATTAATGCATAAGTTTATGCAGGTAGACAGCGACAAGATAGGAAATAAGTACAATTCATTGAACGATGAGTTTATTTCTTTTGCATTTGAATTCCGAACTGAAATGAAGCTAAGAAAATTGAAACAATATTGGCACTGAATCAATTTAAATTCTACGTCTTTTATTTCCTTTTCAATTTTCCTTATGTTGTCTCTCCATTCTTTGCTGTTTTGCAATGTGTATCGAAGTGCAATTTAATATTTACGGATGATTTAATATTATTTAATATCATCATCATCATCATCGACATTATTGGTATTGTACGTGAACATATAATGTGTGTATGCATGCATGTGAAATTATCAAAGAAGAAATGCAAACAGACTTAAAATTCCATTCCTGAATGTTTTTGTGAGTGATTTGTTATGAAATGGAATTTGAAGTCGATTGAAAGGTGTTTATTGAGTAGATTTTAAAGTAAGCTCTGACAGTCGCTTGTAAGACTTTTTAAAGCTGCTAGCTTTTGGTATACCGAGAATTTTTTTCACTCACTCAAAGGCTTACAATGCGAGTGAATGTTGAGTAGCAACTGTAATGATTGAGGGATCAGTCCGGGTTGGGAATCAAACCTATGTTCTTACAAAAAAAGAAACTGTTGCTTAACTACTGGAAAATAGCTGCAAAGACGGATTCACCTACTTATGACTCAATAACCGAGATTCTACATTTCTCAGCATTTCTCAGACATCATATCAACAGATATGGATGAAGACGTTTATGAAAAAGTAAAACACAGACGCGCTAAAAATAAAAAACTATTTGGCTATGAAACTTCGTGCATTTCCGATCAACATATTAAAAAAAAATATAAACCAAACTGACTGTCACGTTTTGCAATATTATTCAATACTGTTTAAAAGACGAAAACGAGTATCAAGTGCCATATGTACTCTAAATAACTGATTTATGCATGGCATGACACACTATATGCAATAATAATAATATAAAGTAACAATTCCAACCATCCATTTAATTCGTTCAACCGAGAAAGTAATCACAATATTATTTTTGGAACTCACACTCACACATTCTCTCTCCCATCTCTTCTGAAGTGTATTAACAATGACATATGTGAATATCAATTACAAATTGATATCGAAAATGTTTCACATTTAAAATTGCATCATCAAATGAGTGTGCATGAGACAGTCTGCATGTCGCGTTCATTATTTTTAAATTTATACTTTTTTTCGACTGTAAATTATGGCATTTAGAAGCATTTATGTGATATAAATCTGATTTAATGTCGATTTTATCAGCACATCCAAATATTTTTTCTACCATCTAATAATTATTTTGGAAGAAGAGATGAAAAAGTTACATCAGCAATGAATATCAAACCTTTAAATTATCATACGTGACTGAGAATACTTTCATTTTTTTTGTGTGCTTCGAGAAAAACCACTGCGTCATATGCTATGAGCCGAAAATTCTCATTAAGGCTGATGACAGATTTTTCTCTTGATCATTGAGCGTATTTTTGTCTGAAGTTTATGGTGGCATGTCTTTAATCTTGAGTCATTTTGAATCATTGAATATTATTCTCGAGAGGCATAAAGACTCAGCTATAAGCAGCTTATAAGAGTTTTGAAACTATGCTTAATTTAGCTTTGGGATTCGATATTTTGTTGCCAAACCTTCATTAAACAGCTACTAGGGTTAACTTTTCTGAATTAACTCTAGGCTACGACTTTATTAAGTTGACTATCGACTTAAGCCTAGAAGAGCGGTGAAATGGCATCAGTGGCCTAAATGGTAGAGCATTTACCTTCCGTGCCAAAAGTCCTGGGTTCAATCCCAGGCCATGTCTAATTGTCGAAGCTCTTTTTCCATTTTACTTTTCTAGTTTCGAAGCTCGGTTCGTGTGTTGGGTGTAGATGTCTTTGGCACAGAATGTGCCTCCTTTGCTAGGTATACAAGAATATACTAGCATCTCGATGACTTCCTTAAGGCATCTTGCGCACACGAATTGTGACTAGGTACATTGCAGTGTTCATCAGGTCTTTAGACGTACTTGTGTATTTGCAATGTGCAGAGCTTGTAAGTGGTTTAGATCCTACTATAAATTGTAGGTCTAAAGGGCATGGTACAATAAATTCTTTACAAATTGAATCACAGTGCCTCCAGCTAAAAGGCTGGGCTCACTCCACACATTATATACAAACCTAGAAGAGAGTGTCTTAAAGAGCTCTAGAAACAGTTTTTAGCACTTAAAGGGATTTACTAAGATCATTCCTTTTTGGATGATTATTTACTGAGACATAAAATGCGCTTTAGGATCAATTTTATTTGATAATCGATAGCTTGATGTAGTGAGAGTCACTGACATCAAATTAGAACTTTCTGAAGCTTTGAAAATGAGCATTGAAGAGAATGGCGAGCCATACAAAATATGATAAACTTTTTTCAACCAAAAAAATTCGTAATCGTTGGTTGGTTTCATAAATTGAAACCTCAAAAAAATTAATAACATACACAAATTGAAGAAAGTACGATAAACAATTTTGTTTGTTGTACAGTCGGTCGAGGAAAAATATTAATTATACGTAGCAAACAAAACAACAAAATAAAAACACACGAGAGGATCAAAAAAAGAAACTTTGTTATTTATGTATAGAAAACAACTCCTTTCAATACCCTCTTGGTCACAAGCATTGCACAGACATTATTTATGTAATAATACTTTTCTATATGAAATACGTGTGCGATAAAAAAATATGGAAAATAAATTTCTCTTTCAATTCTTTTTTATACAAATTGTATTGATAACGGGACGTGATTAAAATAGTAACAAAGGCAGAATAAAACAAACGCTGACATCGGCTACCTGTGTGCATGCGTGCTACTTTTTTTTGCCTACACTCATATCAAATTATCGTCGTAAATGTGAAAAAGGGGAAGGAAGAAGGAAGAAGACCTAAAACTATCGAAATAAATTAATGTCTTATTTCTCAAGAAGGAGATGCTACTGAGTTGTGGATGGTGTGACGCTGTTTAAGGGATTATTTGCTTGCGAAATTTAAGTTTTAAGTTGTTTATTAAGTATGAGGTTTGTC